ATAGTAAATGTTCAGCCATCATTCTTCCTGCTACAGCATAAAAGACCAGGGGAGGCTTTTCCAATCAACATTTTCATACCTCAGATGATGGAAACTCAGCGTGAGAGCACGGAGCTTTCAAATCCAGGTGAGATATTACTTTTTCAGATTGAAAATACACTTGAAGTGTGGCTAGTGACTCTCAGTAGTGGAATCAACATCGATCAATTGAAAATTAACAGATTAGATTTCCCACAAAGATTGTCTGGAGGCACCTCGTTAAGTCTACAGAGCAGTCCCACGACTCACACATACTTACTACACACCACAGCAGTTAAAACCCTCTGTATGTGCATGCACAATCCGCCAAGAGAATCCAATCCACCATGAATAACATATAGGGCCTTTCCCGACTCTACCAAGCTCTAATGACTTCACTCACAGATAGATTTTTATTCCACACGCTGGATTTCTAAATGCTGAGCCCACCATTGTACACTTCTGCTCAAATTGAATACACTTAGCACAAACTACAGGTGATGTTCACAATCACCACTGGAATAATTTCCTGAGAGAGAGCAAGGCAGTTTGTATGTGTACAGAAAAGTCTACAAATTCACACCCACGTTTGCCTGCACAAACACACAGGTCTGCCTCTTTCAATCTCTTTTCCAGAGAAAGACTGAAACACATGGTAACATACAATCATATACACATTCACCCACCCACCCACAGTGCTTCAGCCCACATAAACAAAGCTACAGCACACCTTTAAAACTAAAACTTTAGCCCAGGTTTTACAGACAGCTTCTCTCCGGGGAGACAGTGGGGAGAAGGCTGGAAACTTATTGGAGCTGTAAAAATATATTCCTGAGGCCCTGCACCTCCCCCAGGAGCCCCCTTCAACCATTACAAAACTGGGACGAGACCTCGTAAATGGAAAGGGGGGAGGGGGGGGGGCAAATAGTGTAGCCAAATAGTACTAAGGGCAACTGTGTACCACTCAATGTGTAAAACTTACATCATCATAACACTAACTACACTGGGTTGCAGTTATTTGGAGTACTGCAGAACTACTATAAAATATTCTTTCCAAGGACTGATGTGTGTTGCTGTAACAACTGAAGAGCAGCTCATAGAAACCATTCCCAAATTGATTATAGAGCTGGCAGAAAGAGCTTTATTTAAGCTTCATCCAACTTTCCCCAACCACACAGATCTATTCTAAATCAGCTCTGTAGTACCCTCAATGTCGACGCAAATTCAGAGAACAACGTAACTAACATCTTACTGGAAGTATTACGGGAAGTATATATATTTTTTATTTATTTAAAGGAACTCAGTCCGGCTTTACACTTACTATTGAAAGTTGTAATAGTAGAATGCACATGGTGCAATTTCGAAATTGGGTAGTGCATCATCAGTTCCTCTTTTCATGTTTATAACTTGTCAGAAATGTCCAGATCAACTAGCCCATGTCAGTTAACATTTTTTATTTCGTTGTTTTTTTTGCCCATAGATTTTGCTTTAAAACGGCAACATTTTATTTGCACCCCATGGCAAAATGTGTAGAATTGCAGGAAATAAGCTTTAAACCTGCAAAATTCTCTCCACCAACAAGAGGGGTGTGAACAGTTTGTGTCATGGACAGTGCTTGTGCCCATAGAAATAGACGTGGTGCATGCACGCGCAGGGGGGGCGCAGGATGTTCCCCAATGCTGGAAGGGGGGCCCGATTTAAAAAGTTTGAGAACCCCTGATGTAGAAGGACCACACTATCACAGTTCAACCGGCATTACCACCAAACACTCAACTTAAAATGTGCCTCTCTTCTACATATGCCCAAAGAGGAACAAAACATTGAATGAATACTAACCATAACTGAAAAGCTCTGCAGTATTACAGAGGATATAGAAGATGAATTAGCTCTCCCCTGAAACAATCAATGTGACTGAGAAATGATCATCTGTAAAGGTGAAATCCTATTAACAATGCTGGAATGATGAAAAATAGCCTACTAACAAACATATAAAAGAGAGGCACAAAATATGACTCTTTACTGCATTACTGATGTCACTGAGCTCTCCTCATTGTCATGATTTTGTGTGCTTCCACAGTGACCTGAGATATAGGGTGAGTAGATAATTGCAGTGGCAATATGCTGTGTGATCAGTGTCAAAAAATGAATCAGACATACCAGTGTGTTGCAGCTTGTGGAGTCTAAAACATCATCCCATCCCATCACACTGCTTTACCCATGTAGCACTGCAATCAATAAATTCTAGCCCTAACTTAGAGGAAGCTGTGTCATTTTGTAGACAATAAGAACACTTGGAAATAGACACTGTAGCAAAACACAGTAACATAGTTGTTGCAGTTTTGCCATCAAAAAGTGAACATTGAAGAGAAAGAAAATTAAAAGGTGTGATCAGCCACTTAATTGGCCTTCACTCAGCAGGGGCAGAGTTATGTGACATCTGTCATACTCTAATTTCCGTGTTAAGTGTGTGTGTGTGTGTGTGTGGGGGGGGGGGGTCTACATGGTGGCTCTGACTGGCAGGAAAGGAGGTAAAATGATAAAGCAAAGAGGAACAGGGAGAGACGGGACAAGTTATGATATAATTAGTAAGTAAAGGTAAATTGGGTATATACAGTACCAGTCAAAAGTTTGGAAACACCTACTCATTCAAGGGTTTTTCTTTATTTTTTACTATTTTCTACACTTTATTTTTTACTATTTTCTACATTGCAGAATAATAGTGAAGACATCAAAACTATGAAATAACAGATATGGAATCATGTAGTAATCAAAAAGTGTTAAACAAATCAAAATATATGTTATATTTGAGATTCTTCGAAGTAGCCACCCTTTGCCTTGATGACAGCTTTGCACACTCTTGGCATTCTCACAACCAGCTTCACCTGGAATGATTTTCCAGCAGTCTTGAAGGAGTTCCCACATATGCTGAGCACTTGTTGGCTGCTTTTCCATCACTCTGCAGTCCAACTCATCCCAAACCATCTCAATTGGGTTGAGCTCGGGTGATTGTGGAGGCTAGGTCATCTGATGCAGCACTCCATCACTCTCCTTCTTGGTCAAATCGCCCTTACACAGCTTGGAGGTGTGTTGGGTCATTGTCCTGTTGAAAAACAAATGATAGTCCCACTAAGAGCAAACCAGATGGGATGGTGTATCGCTGCAGAATGCTGTGGTAGCCATGCTGGTTAAGTGTGCCTTGAATTCTAAATAAATCAGTGACAGTGTCACCAGCAAAGCACCCCCACACCATCACACCTCCTCCTCCATGCTTCATGGTGGGAACCACAGATGCAGAGATCATCCGTTTACCTACTCTGCGTCTCACAAAGACACGGCGGTTGGAACCAAAAATCGCAAATTTGAACTCATCAGACCAAAGGACAGATTTCCACTGGTCTAATGTCCATTGCTCGTGTTTCTTGGCCCAAGCAAGTCTCTTCTTATTATTGGTGTCCTTTAGTAGTTGTTTCTTTGCAGAAATTTGACCATGAAGGCCTGATTCACGCAGTCTCCTCTGAACAGTTAATGTTGAGATGTGTCTGTTACTTGAACTCTGTGAAGTATTTATTTGGGCTGCAATTTCTGAGGCTGGTAACTCTAATGAACGTATCCTCTGCAGCAGAGGTAACTCTGGCTCGTCCTTTCCAGTGGCGGACCTCATGAGAGTCAGTTTCATCATAGCGTTTTTGTGACTCCACTTGAAGAAACTTAAAATTTAAAATTTTCCAGATTGACTGACCTTCATGTCTTAAAGTAATGACGGACTGTCATTTCTCTTTGCTTATTTGGGCTGTTCTTGCCATAATATGGACTTGGTATTTTACCAAATAGGGCTATCTTCTGTATACCTTGTCACAACACAACTGATTGGCTCAAATGCATTAAGAAGGAAAGAAATTCCACAAATTAACTTTTAACAAGGCACACCTGTTAATTGAAATTAATTCCAGGTGACTACCTCATGAAGCTGATTGAGAGAATGCCAAGAGTGTGCAAAGCTGTCATCAAGGCAAAGGGTGGCTACTTTGAAGAATCTCAAATATAACATATATTTTGATTTATTTAACACTTCTTTGGTTACTACATGATTCCATACGTGTTATTTCATAGTTTTGATGTCTTCACTATTATACTATAATGTAGAAAATAGTACAAATAAAGAAAAACCCTTGAATGAGTAGGTGTGTCCAAACCTTTTGACTGGTGCTGTACATCAGAGCTACTGTATATGTTTACAAAATACTATATGTGTGACTACCTCTGGATATACATGTTTAAGGGACTTGGAGGACTGCTAGTGGGATGGAATATCTGAGATGATGTGGGAATATATTGGCAATGCTATAACAGTGTCAGAGCCTGATATGCCAGAACCCAAATCTACGGAGGGGAGGAGGGTTGGAGAGGGTTTCACTGCCCTGTGTGTGTAGCTCAGTAACGAGGAGAGAGGGCGCAGAGGGAGGATGTTTAATGAGCGCTCCCCCTGCCTCCTGCCTGCCAGAGTGGCTGCATTAACACCACACGCCTTATCAAGGGCGCTGTCACCGGCACTGAGAGGCACAATGCACTGCCACTCCACCAGCCAGCAGAAGAGAGGGAGAGAAGGAAGGAGAGAGAGACAGGGAGGAGTGGGGAGGGAAGGAGCCTAGAGGACATTATCTTGATGAAGCCATGATCGATAAAGCCAGAGCAAGCCAATGGTACAGCGATACCATCCCTTTAATTGAGATTAGACTCTGCAAGTTCACCGTGCACCCATCTAATTTAAGAGTGGCCGACATCTCAACCACAGTTAACTCCTCACACACGTCATCAATTACAGAATACTCTCTGACCTGGGAACTGGCAGCCAATCAGAGGGCCCCACCTCCTCTCCTCTCCTCTCGGTAGAGCGCTGCCTGGGGAGGGGAGACGCCTCTCTCTGGGGCCCCATGCAACCAGCCCTTTTGGGAGACTCTTCCCTTCTCTGTTTTTTCTGTTATTTATTCCAGTGCATACATACCTCCTTGTCTACATATTTTCTTGCCCGGTTTCCTGGCACATTCCTTGGATATTCTTTTTACTGTAAAATGAATAGAAGACTAAAAAATAACATGGAGCTCCATTAAGGACAGTTGGAGCATGCAACACCACTATCTGACTGCTGAGGAAGGAGAGAATGAGGTAGCAAAGAGAGTGCCCACTGGGCACACCACTGGTTGAATCAACGTTGTTTCCACGTCATTTCAATGAAATTACGTTGAACCAATGTGGAATAGATGTTGAATTGACGTCTGTGCCCAGTGGGTTGCTCTTACTGGCTTAGTTCATTAATCAATCAGTAAATCAATCAATAATCATTATTTACATGAGCTTCCTCCTTGATGGGCCCTATTAATTGTGCCTACACACAATGGACAGATGATGAGCCGCTGTCAGTCAGGAGTGAGGAGTGAGGAGTGAGGAGTGAGGAGTGAGGAGTGAGGAGTGAGGAGGAGGAGGAGGAGCAGTAGGAGGAGGGGAAAGGAGGAACCAGTCTCACCTGAATGGACGTGCTGTGGTGGACAGGAGGATGTGTGTGAGGAAGGGATCAGGAGACTGATGAACAGCCGCACACTCACACACAGACAGACACACACACACAGACACTCACACACAGATTCACACACACACACACACACACACACACACACACACACACACACACACACACACACACACACACACACACACACACACACACACACACACACACACACAGAGGCACACACACACATATATACTCACACACACAAAAGCAGTGTCATGCACGTAAACATGCAGAGGTCATGCTTTTCACACTCTTGTCAGCACAAAACAAATATGAATATATTTAAAAAGGGGTTGTTGGTTTAGGTCTGTTTTTCCTGTTGGTCCTGCTGTTAACTCACCATCCTCAGTGGGGACATAAATGTTTAAGAAAAGGCAGTCCTCGCTCTGGTCCTGTACGTAAGAAGACACTATCTCCAGGTTGTTAGTGAACCACACAGGCAGCATGACGTCCGGCAGGCGCCCCTCCACGATGGTCTGGGGGCAGACCGGGCCAAACTGAGTGGCGTTGCGGACCTCCGGCCACGAGATGGGCGGCTCCGGGGGCTGGAAGCGCCTCTCGCCCGTGGGGGGTGCGGCATAAGGTACCCCCAGGAACTGAATGACGGGTCCCAGGATCTCGTTGTTGAGCTCCTTCTTGACGCCCCTCAGTTTGCCGTAGACGGTGGTGACCACAGGGTCCGTTTCGTCCAGTTTCTGAGAGGCCGTGACCAGGGCCTGCTGTGCTAGGCTCAGTATCCACAGCAGGAAGGTGAGGTCCAGGCCCAGACCCAGGCCTACGCCCAGCCGGGGCTGCATGGCCCTCCAGGCAGGGTGCAGCCTCAGACGGCCAGGCCTCTGCAGGGGCATGCTCTCTCTGCCACACCAGTAGACACACACACACACCAACTGGGGCTCACCGCACCGCAGCGCTAGCAGCAACAATCCACTTTAGGTCCGCCCACAGGAAGGGGTACAATCAAAGGAAAAGTATCAGGCCTCCCAAACGTGCGGCTGTCAAAACTTTCAAAGGCTCTTCGCATGGCAAGTACTCCCCACTGATTTCACACTGGCGAAGGCGACATCTTCACTTGCCGCTATTCGTCAGGCCGCATCCTATTGACAATCCTGTTTTCCATCCTGGCGACGCAGGCAGGGCAGCCATTTGCAGCAGGTCTTCCACAGATAAATCAACCCCAGTCGAGGCGTGGGTCTATATCCTGCAGGAAAGAAATAAAAATTAATTAGTACTGAGGTGGAGAGAAGAAATATGAACAGAGCAGGGCTTTATTGGCTGTTCCATTCTGACTGTGTTGCTATCAAGCAGAGCACAGGGGAATGACAGTCTGCCTAGTGACACCTCATCAATCATGTGCAAGTAGCAGACTGACTGAGTGACTGGGTATTAGTTAAGTAAGGGATCCCTCCTCCTCTTCCAGACCAGGGAGGGAGAATTATGAAGATCATGTTCATAGAGAAGGAAATCCTATTTGTTTATAATGCGATGACACCTGTCATAGACACTTCGCAGCCAGAGCAGGAGCAGACACATGGTGGGGGACATAAAGAAATTTCAGTTATGACAGTGTTAGCATGGAAATGGGAAAAAAATATCAAAACATTCTCTAAGAGCATCCATATTCTTATGACTAGAGCACCCTTTTGAACAAGTTTACTCAACAAGGAGAGTGACGTTAATTAGGGAAATATGCTCAGATCAATAACATAAAAAAGTTGCAAACCGAGCCTTGAGGTAATGCGACATGTTGACTCGCTTCTCCTTGCACATTAACTGGCTACTTCCAAATCTTAGGAGAGAAACCTTTCAACCTTGCATACAGTACAGTACATATAAATATTTGAAAGCTATATTTGGATCATCCTCTATAGACGGGATAGCTGACGTCACGAAAACGTTGCGGCAGAAGTCTGTGTGTTGTTGTGATTCTGGATGGTCAGATACAGTGGGGGAAAAAAGTATTTAGTCAGCCACCAATTGTGCAAGTTCTCCCACTTAAAAAGATGAGAGAGGCCTGTAATTTTCATCATAGGTACACGTCAACTATGACAGACAAAATGAGAAGAAAAAAAATCCTGAAAATCACATTGTAGGATTTTTAATGAATTTATTTGCAAATTATGGTGGAAAATAAGTATTTGGTCACCTACAAACAAGCAATATTTCTGGCTCTCACAGACCTGTAACTTCTTCTTTAAGAGGCTCCTCTGTCCTCCACTCGTTACCTGTATTAATGGCACCTGTTTGAACTTGTTATCAGTATAAAAGACACCTGTCCACAACCTCAAACAGTCACACTCCAAACTCCACTATGGCCAAGACCAAAGAGCTGTCAAAGGACACAAGAAACAAAATTGTAGACCTGCACCAGGCTGGGAAGACTGAATCTGCAATAGGTAAGCAGCTTGGTTTGAAGAAATCAACTGTGGGAGTAATTATTAGGAAATGGAAGACATACAAGACCACTGATAATCTCCCTCGATCTGGGGCTCCACGCAAGATCTCACCCCGTGGGGTCAAAATGATCACAAGAACGGTGAGCAAAAATCCCAGAACCACACGGGGGGACCTAGTGAATGACCTGCAGAGAGCTGGGGCCAAAGTAACAAAGCCTACCATCAGTAACACACTACGCCGCCAGGGACTCAAATCCTGCAGTGCCAGACGTGTCCCCCTGCTTAAACCAGTACATGTCCCGTCTGAAGTTTGCTAGAGTGCATTTGGATGATCCAGAAGAGGATTGGGAGAATGTCATATGGTCAGATGAAACCAAAATAGAACGTTTTGGTAAAAACTCAACTCGTCGTGTTTGGAGGACAAAGAATGCTGAGTTGCATCCAAAGAACACCATACCTACTGTGAAGCATGGGGGTGGAAACATCATGCTTTGGGGCTGTTTTTCTGCAAAGGGACCAGGACGACTGATCCATGTAAAGGAAAGAATGAATGGGGCCATGTATCGTGAGATTTTGAGTGAAAACCTCCTTCCATCAGCAAGGGCATTGAATATGAAACGTGGCTGGTCTTTCAGCATGACAATGATCTCAAACACACCGCCCAGGCAACGAAGGAGTGGCTTCGTAAGAAGCATTTCAAGGTTCTGGAGTGGCCTAGCCAGTCTCCAGATCTCAACCCCATAGAAAATCTTTGGAGGGAGTTGAAAGTCTGTGTTGCCCAGCGACAGCCCCAAAACATCTCTGCTCTAGAGGAGATCTGCATGGAGGAATGGGCCAAAATACCAGCAACAGTGTGTGAAAACCTTGTGAAGACTTACAGAAAACGTTTGACCTGTGTCATTGCCAACAAATGGTATATAACAAAGTATTGAGAAACTTTTGTTATTGACCAAATACTTATTTTCCACCATAATTTTCAAATAAATTCATTAAATATCCTACAATGTGATTTTCAGGATTTTTTTTTGTAATTTTGTCTGTCATAGTTGACGTGTACCTATGATGAAAATTACAGGCCTCTCTCATCTTTTTAAGTGGGAGAACTTGCACAATTGGTGGCTGACTAAATACTTTTTTCCCCCACTGTAGCTAGCAATAATGAAAAGAAGCTGCCATGTGGGGAATCTTAGGAGGCTCGTTTCAGCTAGTTTTATCTTGTTCTTGATACCATGTCTTGTTTTGAGGTGTTTTGACTGATGTCACGTCTATGCTAATATGGCTAAAATTCGCTAGCTAACCAACAACTGTAACAATGTAATTGAGAGACAACAAGTGCTCATTGTGCAAATGTATTTATGTTTTCAATAAACATTGGAGACGAAATATAGTTTACATGTTGTCCACGATCTAAGCCAACCCTTTCTGTATTGCCCCATAGTTGCGCACGCATCGGTTTTGTTGCTAAACAACCAACCTGTCTATAGAAAACAAGTCTTAATGAGGAATGGAAGGTTGGTTTGCAACTAGAGGCGACTGGCTCTCTCTCTCCCAGGGGAGCCAGTGACAGGCGGATTCAGATCAGCCATTCATTTAGACCAGCACATGAACACAGCGCCAGATCTCCCAGTGCAACACAAAGCAGGTTTATGTCCTCCCACAATGGGACGCTTGTCCTCAATATTACTGTACCGGGTCCGCCACACATAGAGTCAATGACACAGAGTCACAGACACAGAGACAGCAGCAGAACAGGCACATCATTCAGAGATCAGACCAAAACGTAGAGACATCAGCATCCGGAGTGGAGACTTTAAAGTGTAGTGTAGTAACCATGTAGTCAGGGGCGTCATGCCCCCCCCCCCCCCCCCCCCCCCAAGAAGAAAAAAAATCTGAGGGGGCACAAAGTACGTGAGAATGGCTGGGAGTTGGTAATGAAACAGAGCCATAATCATTATGCTTAATTCTATGTATCTCTGCTAAAATCTGGGTAAAGACATTTGAGTTTTATTCAGTACATTTAGTTATTGCTTGCTTTTCTAAAGTCTACCAACCTTGCCAGTAGGCATGCCAGCTAAGATAGTTTGACAAGCTAGCTACTCTAACTTGATTGATAGCCTGAAATGGCTTCTTGGTAGCTAGTTATGAGATTTGGAGATTGGGAACCTAACTGGGCTAGCTAAAGCCAACTTCATAAAATTGCTAGGTGGCTAGTAGTATTACAGCGAAACAACAACAACAACAAAAATGTATACAAAAAAATATATATGTATATACATTTTTTAAACAGGACAAATCTGAGGAGTCAAGTGTCCCTGTGCCCCCTATGGGCATGACTCCTCTGAATGTAGTAAGTGACTTTTAAATGAGTGGCCCAGTGGTGAAGTAGGTTGACACCATGGGGAGATGAAGTGATCCTAACAACCCACAACCCCAAGACATTAAGCACACCCTAAGGTTGGACATTTTTATACAGCAGTTCTAAAAATACACTGTAGCTGTGGGCATGTTGAAAGAAGCACTTAGGTTGGACAAGCAGATCTGTCTGTTTATTGGTCCTCCTGTAGACCTAAGTACACTTATGTGTGTGTGAATATACAAGAATACAGGGTTGGAACAGAGCTTTATACTGTGTATCCCATACTAAATGTAAATTAAATGCTCTGGGTTGGAGGAGTTTTGCAGGGCTCTGATAGTTTTAAACCATCCCAGACACGGCAGATGAGATGTCCTTGTGTGCACAATGGTAATATTTGCAGTCATTTATTTTTTGTATATAGCCAAACACATTCATTATTAGTACCACTCTCACTTCAACCTTTGCAACAAAGCCATATTTCTAAACAAATCGCATCTATTGACAGAGGCGTACAAATTATATGCATCCAAACAAATGCATAGCAAGCAGCCCTGGAATAATTAGGCAAACAGATAAACAGAGGAATGAAATGAAAACCTCTGGCATTGATTGTATACTGTATTGTTAATGAGGCTATAAAACTACTGTGTGGTTTTTACAATGGGGAGGCTAAGAAAAACTGCACACGGACCTCGCTGCAACCCTTTGCCATCGCTGACACACCAGACAAATATTTAGACTGCAGACAAGCAAATAAAAACCAAGGCTTTGGCTCTAATCTGAACATTTTTTTCAGAATCCAGGAGGGGCGAGGTCTGGCTGGAGCGATGATAGCTGGCTAGAGCAAAGTAGGATTTGGTAACATTGTTGTGCTGCACAGTGTGAGGGAGATGAAGTGAATGAGTCTGTGCACAGAGGATGAGATCAGATTGTGTCCTTTAATCCTTATGACAATCTAACTCAAACAGGCCTATGCTGAGAGGAGTTTAGTGAGGTATCTCCCAAAGCTAAATCTCTCTGGGGTGGAAATGTACCGTATACATCCCAGCAACACTGGGCCACAAACCTATGGTAGCTACCTTAACACTCTGTAATATCT